GATTTTGTTATAGAAACCATGGCATATAAAGTTACAAATAATGACACATCTTACTAGTGATTATGTGCTGAATGTTAATCCACCATCTACACTTTTCCAAGAGTGGATAAAAGACTTCCGTTTGCTTCAAGTCCGCTATAAGAAGTCTGTGGGATGGAATCTTCAGGTAACTGTTTGCCACACAGCATATAATCGCCAGATGCTGTCTGCCGTGCAAGTGACAGATATATGCCAAATTCAACACCACGTACACCATCGCAAACGGGCTTGCACTGAGTAAACTAACATCGTTACTCATAAAAAGACCGGTATTACTATGCTAACATGACGTATGCATATAATAAGGTACAGTACATGTCAAAAGCATCAGTGCAATATCAGACAGCACCCGTGAGAACTGCACAGTTATATAGATAACAGATGTATTCATGTCAAGCAGTGTGTGCAGGGCCGGTGAGCGCTCTGTGTACCTTTTAGTCACTCAGTTATGTTATAAAAATCTATTTTCTTGTGATAACGGGATTTTGTTGAGACATATTTTCCTTACGCCTGCATATATATATATATATATATATATATATATATATATATATATATATATATATATATATATATATATATATATATATATATATATATATATATATATATATATATATATATATATATATATATATATATATATATATATATATATATATATATATATATATATATATATATATATATATATATATATATATATATATATATATATATATATATATATATATATATATATATATATATATATATATATATATATATATATATATATATATATATATATATATATATATATATATATATATATATATATATATATATATATATATATATATATATATATATATATATATATATATATATATATATATATATATATATATATATATATATATATATATATATATATATATATATGTATATATATATATATATATATATATATATATATATATATATATATATATATATATATATATATATATATATATATATATATATATATATATATATATATATATATATATATATATATATATATATATATATATATATATAGTTGAAATCAGAATTATTAGCCTTCCTGAATTATTAGCCCCCTGTATATTTTCCCCTTATTTCTGTTTAACAGAAATATTTTTCAACACATTTCTATACATAATAGTTTTAATAACTCATTTCTTGTGACTGATTTTTTTTTTCTTTGTCATGATGGATTAAAAAAAATAAAAACTGCTTTTTTCTAGCCAAAATAAAACAAGTAAGACTTTGTCCAGAAGAAAAAATAATATTGAAAATATTGTGAAAAATGTCTTGCAGAAATAAAAATTCACAGGGTGGGGCTAATAACTGTATATTTCCCATTATGTGTGTGGCTTAAAAGTAAGACTGCATTTCGGACAAATAAAACTAAATGACCTACAGTGAAAGATAGTAGTGGGAGTTTAATGGTCTGGGGCCGTGTTGTTGCTTCAGGACTTGCTGTGGAACCAGGAATTCTGCTCTGATACCAAAATATCCTGTAGAAGAATGTCCGGCTATCTGTTAGGGACCTCACGTTAAAGCAAACTTGGGTTCTGCAGAAGGACAATAAAGAAAAAAAAGACTTTGGAGTGGTCTAGTCAAAGTCCTGACCTGAATCTAATTGAGGGGGTTTATGCTCAAAAATAGTTATGGAAAATGTTTGATTGCAGTTGTTGCTGCTAAGGGCAGCCCAACCAGTTATTAGAATTAGGGGGCAAACACTTTTTCACACAGGGCTATGTAGTTTTCTGTTTTGTTTTGCCTAAATGAAAACTAAATGAAGAATTTAGAGTGGCCAAGTCAAAGTCCTGACCTGAATCCAATTGAGATTCAGTGGCATGACCTTAAAAATGCAGTTCATGCTCGAAAATTCTCCAATGTAGCGGAAATACAACATTTCTGCAAAGATTAGTGGGCCAAAATTCCTCCACAGCGCTGTAAGAGAATCATTGTAAGTTATGGAAAATGTTTGATTGCAGTTGTTGCTGCTAAGGGTGGTCAAACCAGTTATTAGAGTTAGGGGGCAAACACTTTTTCACACAGGGCTATGTAGTTTTGTATGTTGTTTTGCATAAATAAAAACTGAGTGGCCAAGTCAAAGTCCTGACCTGAATCCAATTGAGATGCAGTGGCATGACCTTAAGAAGGCGGTTCATGCTCGAAAATTCTCCAATGTGGCGAAAATTCTCCACTTTTCCACACAGGGCTATGTTGGTTTGTATTTTGTATTTCCTTTCATTTAAAAATTGCATGATGTGTTAACTGTTGTTATCTTTGACTAATATTTATATTTACTTGATGATCTGAAACATAAAAATGTGACAAACATGGAACTAAAAGAGACATCTGTAAGGGGAAAACACTTTTTAACACCACTATAAATGTATTTTCATTCATTCATTCATTTTCTTTTCGGCTTAGTCCCTTTACTAATCTGTGATCGCAACAGCGTAATAAACCGCCAACTTACCAAGCATGTTTTTACGCAGCGAATGCCCTTCCAGCCGCAACCTATTTCTGGGAAACATCCACACACTCATACACTAGGGACAATTTAGCCTACTCAATTCACCTGTACCGCATGTCTTTGGACTGTGGGGGAAACCGGAGCACCCGGAGGAAACCCACGCGAACACAGGGAGAACATGCAAACTCCACACAGAAACGCCAACTGACCCAGCCGAGGCCCGAACCAACGACTCAGCGACCTTCTTGCTGTGAGGCTACAGCACTACCTACTGCGCCACTGCGTCGCCTATGTAATTTCCTGTAGATGAAATCTGAAATGAAGGATCTAAATGTCACGTTATTGCCTCGGCTGAACTCATAGAATATTAAAAGCTGTGGGATTTGCAATGAAGCAAATATTACAAATGCATTATTTAGTGTTAGGCTTATTTGTGATTTAATGCTTATTCAAAACACAATCCCTAGAGTGAGCCAAAACCTGGAGCCAATACTTAATACAGACTAAAGCGAGGAGAGGAACTGCTTAGAAGGGCTACTGTGACCAATGGTGATAATCAGAAAAGACTTATAGTGGACGCAAGTTTCTAAAATTAAATGCAAATTGTATCAGCATCACGTCTAATCTACTTTAATTATGGTTATATTATATAAACACACTTTAAAAATTGCTTTCCATAGAAAAAGCCCACGATGTTTCTTTAGAAATAAAATGCATTATAATCTCTTTTTTCTTTTGATTTTGTTTGAAATACTTTATTAAGCTGTTGTGGAAATGCTGTGTAATTCAAATCAAGTATTGAAGCACCTCATTAAAATAATTACTGCTTTAATGGAAGCAATTATGTGTGCTTGTCTCAAAGCTGGCTGTCCCACAGAAACTCCCTTGAAAGGCTTGTCCTGCAGATACTGTGTGTGATTCAGCAGTGTGTGCCACTCAAACCTCTCACGGGACAAATAAAGTTGCTTTACTCTTCGTTGCAGCACGGTGCTCTCCTTTATTATTCTTTCTTATGCATCAGCATTCAAAGAGCCTGGAATTTAAAATTGTCCTATTAATAAAGTGCTATAAAATACATTTAATAATGTATATATACAGTTGAAGTCAGTATTATTAGACCCCCCCCCCCCCCTGAATTATCAGCCTGCTTGTTTATTTTTTTCCCCATTTCTGTTTAAGTGAGAGCAGATTTTTTTCAACACATTTCTAATTATAATAGTTTTAATAACTCATTTCTAATAACTGATTTATTTTATCTTTGTCATGATGACAGTAAACAATATTAGACTAGATATTTTTCAAGACACTTCTATACAGCTTAAAGTGACATTTAAAGGCTTAACTAGGTTAATTAGGTTAACTAGGCAGGTTAGGTTAAGTAGGCAAGTTATTGTATAACGATGGTTTGTTAAATTAGCCTAAAGGGGCTAATCATATTAACCCTAAAATGGTGTTTAAAAATTAAAAACTGCTATTATTCTTGACGAAAAAAAACAAATAAGACTGTCTCCAAAAGAAAAAATATTATCAGACATACTGTGAAAATATCCTTGCTCTGTTAAACATCATTTGGGAAATATTTAATGAAAGAAAAAAATTCACAAAAATTTTAAAAATCCTTTAAAAAATCCTCTCTGTGCTCTTGTTTTCTCTGTCGCCCCCTGCAGGTGGTGGCCTATCACTACTGTCAGTCTGATAATGCCTACACTTGCCTGGTGCCGGAGTTTGTGCACAATGTGGCGGCGCTGCTGTGTCGTTCACCACAACTCACCGCATACAGAGAGCTGCTGCTGAAGGAGCCGCACATCCAGAGCATGCTCAGTCTGCGCTCCTGCGTACAAGACCCACCCACAGCCTTCAGGAGAGGAGTGCTGGAACCCCTGCACGCACTTTATAAAGGCACGTCCACTTAAACCAGGGGTCACCAATCTCGGTCCTGGAGGGCCGGTGTCCCTGCAGGGTTTAGCTCCAAATTGCCTCAACAAGTATTATTTGAGTCTAACAAGCTTAATTCACAATGTTTACATTGATCTACTTACATTAAATCTAAATCCCAAATATCAGAAATGACAACAGATTGTTGAGATTTAATTAATGTCACTTGTAATGTTATTGATTAATGCTCTTGACTGATTTCATTCATTCATTTTCCTTCTGCTTAGTCTCTGGTTTATCAGGGGTTACCACAGTGGAATGAACCGCCTCTTCTTTGACAGATGTATTTTTAATTTCAGGTGGTTTGTGTAATGTGTTTTATGTTTGGTAAAATAATCTCTAATTGCATCTTTAGTGATTTTTCACCTAATTACACTGTCTCGTCCCAACAGGTGAATCTAGAGGTTTTAGCAAACAAAGCAGACGTGGTTTCAGCTGGTTTTGACGCAAAAGAAAATTTACCTTGTTAAAAACCAAAGAATTGTCTAAAGTGATATTTATGAAAAAAAAGCTATTTTATTTACTAGCTAATAATCTTTTCATTACATATAAAATGAAACTTCTGAACCTAATCAGAGGAGCCTGA